GTGCCCGACTGTAACACCCCCCCAGCCTGGAAGACCTCATGCACCCAGCTGGATAACGAGCAAGAAGCCAATCTGTGCCCAGGTGCTGTCAGCCCCCCCGCCCCCCCAAGTCCACCACCCGCCAGAACCCCCACACCAGGCCTCCAGCCACAGCTCACGCTGACTCCCATGAGGACCATTGTGGGTTGGTCCATCAGGTTCAGCCTCACTCTTCTAGCTTAAAAACGGTAGCTATTATGAGCTTAACCAGTCTGCAGGATCTAAAATGTTTGCCCAGACCGTCATCAATACTGAAATGGCAGACGCCACCACATCCTCTAGTCACCGGTGAACCCAAAAGCTAAGCTACCTAGGAGAAGTTTCCATTCAACCAACGGGTGAAGGTCTCAAACTGCATTCCACGCAGATGCTGGAGTGCTGACAGGGAGAACGTTCGAATGGCTGATGCCTTAACCTTTCGCAGTAAACACCTCAGAATGGCATTTAGTGAAGGTCACACCTTTGAGGCTGCATGACAGGTCACTTTAGATATGGAAACACTCACACAGTATCATATTTAACCTGTGCAGATGTCCAGACCCTCATCCACAGTTTTGCAGGATGGATGTCTTATTTTCCCAGTTTGTGTTCATTGATAAAATTATGGTAGGTGCACATCTAAATATCAGATAAAAGGGACATGCGCACAAAGGATTACAATGTAAAATCCCAGTGAGCCGGTGCACATTTTAAACATCGCTTAACTCCAATTCACAGGCATCTATATAAATGGATTGTAAAAGTGTTAAAGTGTAAACCACATTACTCACCTTTCATGAAATGTCTGCCAAGAAGGAAAAAGGGCCGTTTTATAACTAGGCCAAATGCTGCATCTATTAAAATGGCTGCACTGGGGATTAACAGTTCATTGCCGGCGTCTCTGCCTCCGTCTGCATTCACTGCTCACGGCTCCGTGCCATATGCCCCCAAACCCCTTGTCACTAATCTGCCACGTGATGGTTATAGCGCGGTTTTAGAAGAGCTTTACCTGGCCACAAGCAGCGGTGGCAATCTAAAATCAAGTACGCTGGTGGCCCCCATCGTCCCTAAGGCAAACGGAAATTCTGTCCCAGGCACTTCAGATAAGAGGAGAGGATGATGCACCATGCCATCTTTTGGGAAGAGAAAACAGAACGATGAGACCAGATCAGGGCAGCGGAGAAGATGGAGGCTTTGCAGAGAGGCTCCGTGTCTCACTGTACATCAACACAACTGTTCCCCAACAATGTCTTTTTTTTTTTTTTTTTTTTTTACCTGTCCTGCAGGGGGTGCTGTGTGCTTTGTGACTGCAGAGGCCCCTAGTGGAGCAGCACTTACTAGCACCATGATGACCCCTTAGGCCACAACCAACTCCTTTCATCTTTCCAAGGATCAGAATGAGGAATAATCGTCATTAGTGGACATTACCATAATCAAACCCTCAGCAGGTATCCTCTCTCTCTCTCTGTGGAAGATACCGTATCAAAGATGAACAAATAGGCAGGTCTCTCTTGTACATAATTGTGAAGAGGGAGCATCATCGAGTCAGATGATCAGTCCTCAGAAGGACACGTGTTCCTCATTCTGGGCCATAATGGAAAGGTCGCCCCCCCCTTAGAAGGCAGAGTTTCACAGGCCATGATGTAATGCCCTGCAACCGCCCTATCCTGTAAAACACCTCAACACGGTGCATGGACATTTAACCTGAGAAGCAGATTTGAAAAATAATAAAACTTAAATTGATTCTCTGTAAATTGCTTTAGTGATCCACGTCGACGTACTGATGAAACAATTTGTAAGGAAACTTCTTTAAATATTTCAATAACCAGAAACCGCAATCTTTGCTCTCTTACGCAAAAAGCTTTTCCGAGGTTCAATGAACTCTTATTATTTCCTGTGTTCATCTGATCGATTACAAAATGCTTCTGGGCTTTTCTGCAGCCAGCATTCCGACAGCACCCCCAGGGTTCTCCAAACATGACGTTTACAAACCCAGACCAAAGGATCGGAGGATCTAACGACTCCAGCTACATGCAGAGCGGGCGTCACTCACCTGAGCCCTTAGAGATTACTCCACCTGCCAAGACTAAATGCATCACATATGTCAATTAGCACATGAAAGCATATTTTTTTCATATTATGTTTTCAGAGGATTGTTTCCGTGGATACCAGGCATCAGGATGAGCAATGTCAACCTGGACCCTTTACAGCATATCGTATATATTAAAAGAACCTTGGCCAGAGTTCCAAGCTATAATGGACCCAAGATGCGCCTCTTTAATCCAATAACCGTGTGCACCAGATAAAGAGTCAAAGCACGCTTTACATACAAGAAGCAGGATCAGTTAAAGATGCAGTTGAACTCCACCATCTTCTGCCTGTCCTGCTCCCCCGCCTGCATGAGAAGGGGTGGGGGGTTAGGGGGTGTGTGAGATGTGCGCCTCAGCCTTCAGGGAGGCAAAGCAGTTATGTGATCTCTTCCTGCTTGCCTGAGGCGCCCTGTGCGGCATCACTGGGCTACGGAGCGGCACGGCCTATCTGCGTAACACAGGCGAGATTTGTTCAGCTTAAATCTGCATTCATGGTGGGGGGGGAGGGGGGTTCTTAGTGACGCCTTGAATTCATATGAATTGCTAACACACTGGGTTCATCTTAAGCCAAGTAAATGCTCCGGGTGGGGGAGGGGACCACAGTGCCCCCCACAGGGATTAAGTACAAGAGATTGAGTCTTTGCCTGGGGTGTATGGGTTAACAGTCCCCTGGTGGATGTTTGGTTCTTTACCTGTTTTGAAGTTGAAGGTCTGATGCTTGTAGCAGGGGGACAGGGGGGGGTAATTCGCTAAACACATACCCCATACCTGAGTGGGGGGAGGGGTAACGCTGATCTTGCCACCTCACTCAGGGTAGGAACTACCAGATGACCTGGGGCAACAGTGCAGATCATTCCAGCTCCACGGCCTAGGGGGTGCTACAGAGAGTGACGATTCACTCGAGGGCACCGGGTCTCCAGTCAGGCAAATGAGCTATGCAGATAAACGAGGACACCTCACTAAATGTTCTCCAGCTTGTGATCTAAAGCCTGCAGGTCAAGATAATTAAGTAAAAATGTTCAGGTGATATTAGCATCTACAAGATCTACAAACACTCAAGCAACCGGATTTGCAATGGCCCGGAAACCACCGCCATTCGAGGCACTCGAGCGAGTTGCAAATGCATGAATTCATCCATGTTACCACAGTGCCCCCTTGTGGCCTCAAGTAAAGCAGACTCAATAGGAGGACCACAGCTATGGCTGAGGGTGGTTATTAGGGTTTAAACGAAAGTGGTCTTCAAGAAGACAAACAGCAGACATTTAAGCTGCTCTGCAGTACACTCCGAGCTTCAATCAGCATCATTCATCCAGCTGATTCAAGGCATTTCCTTAGTAATTATTAATCAAGGAGCTCTTGTCATCATGCTCATTTTATTTATTTTTTTAAATCAATCAAGGCAGAAAGTGGTGATTGGACGTTCGATTGCAATCAGTTTTTTCTTGGCAAAAGAGCCCACTTCCAGGAATTTACGGGCTGACATTTAACCTTGCTGTAGGTCACATCACCTCCAGTGGGGAGGCCAAGAGTAACCGTGAAAAAGGGCTCCGGGTAACAGGTGTGGGTCGGCACACCAGATATGGGATACAGCCCCAGTGCAGAGGAGAGGCCAGCTACAGAGGGCATGTCCTGGCCTGACACGAGCTTCAGAGAAGTGCCAAAGATGTACAGAAACAGACCATTGGATATTACTGTATATTAAGTGCAATACAGAGAGGCTCACTAGGTTTGGATGCTGTACCTGTGACTGAGTGGTCACCAGTTCAAATCCCGGGGGCGGCAGGGTGAATCCACCATTGGACCCCTGAGTAAGGCCCTCAACTGCAATTGCTTCAACGACTGGCTGACCTGCTTTTTCAAAGCCAAACAGATACTTCCACTTGCTTAAATACTATGGTTTTTAAATGCAAATGGAATAAATGCAGTGAAGGTGCCTGTGCATATCCAGCCACTAGGGGCTGCCATGTGGAGGCCATGCAGGCATTGGGGAATGAAATTTCAGACTGACGCCAGCTGCACTGAAGTTTTTGGGGGTAGGGAGAGGAAGCTAATCTGAGCAGGCCGTAACGCGCAGCCTGCAATCACTACATCAGCTACAGCCTGACTGCCACAATGACAGCCGGGCCACCAGCAGGGGGAGCTCATACTCACTGGCTGTCTGTTTTTCCCGGTCTCCTTGAATCTGCAGTGGGACCATCCACCTTGCTTGAAAAACTCACCAAGGGATCGTTATCGCCAAACACATGGACAAAATGACAAAGCTTGACTATGCAGAAGCTGTAAACAAACACCCCTGGGGCTCATTACCATCAACAAGGTGCTTCTGAAGAGTCTCACCCGTGCCCCTGATGACTTGGGTCCCATCCAGCCTCAGCGCCAATGGAAACCAACCGGATTCATTTAAGCAAAGACTAATGACTAATCAATAAGGCAAAAGGTAACACAACCCATATAAATTGAACCAATAATCAAGCACACAATTAGATTACAGTTAAATTCTGCCGACTCAGCAGAGATCACTTAAAGCCCCAGAAAACACTTGCCTGTGTGTCCTGCTGCACATCGAAAAGTCATATTTTTCTTCTTTTATTTATTACAGGTTTCTACAACATAAACTGCCTGGAATAAACACAAGAGGGGGAATTAGTCTGAAAGCCCGGAGCTTTTAGGCTGTGTTGCCTGGCAACTAAGATAAGAGTTTGGTATTTACATTGTGAACCATCAAGAAACCCTTTTAAAAGGCAAGATTCCTGGCTAATGGGGCGGCCTGTAGAATTGGCTGGACAAATTAAGGTCAGACTTCTAAATTTGCAGGCAGGGCTCAGAAGTCTCGCTCATGTGGGACCTTTGAAAGATTATTACAACAGCAACAAAATTTCTATTCTAGTGGTGTTTTTTTTTACATGAAAAAAATACATACTACTGCTACACAAATAGGTACTAAGCAAAATATAAAAGCCATTTAGCACATAATCCCCGGGGTTAGTTAGAGGGCAAGGATCAAGCAGGAAGCCTGTGTTTGGCCCTAGGGAGAAACGTGAGAGTAAAACGACGCTGTCCTTGGCCTGGGCGTCGTCGGCATGAACTGTGGGTCTAGGAGAAGCAGCAATCCTGAAGACCGAACACTGGGCCGGAGACCACAACCAAACACGGAGCGTGGCGAATCTCAGCGCCTTGAAGCACCTGTGTCACACTGCCGCAAGGATGAGACTGCGGACGGACAGTTTGGGTACAAACAGCACAGACGTCCAAGAGAAAGCTGATTTTTAAAGCCAACACAATGGACACAGGACACTGTCCATCACTCAAAATAATTTTTACTCACAAAAATGTTGATGCTAACTGAATTTATAAAAACACGTGTTTGCGGGGAGGTCGGCCAAACAGGCTGATCCCGTCGTCAGCACCCGGCCGTCAGAGCCTCTGGCATCTCAACACTTAAAAAGATGGCAAGAGATTCCTGAATTATAAAACATCCATATCAAATATTTACAGAAGGCAGTGGGGGGGAAACAGAAAATGATGTGTGGTCTACAAATGCATGGCAGTCCATTTTTAAAGAGCTGTCCGCCCCCGAGGTATAAGCGCTTCACGGTAGTACATCCCGTTAGCAGACTCTCACAAATACAAGGCCATGTTAAAAGAAGTTTTTGCAGATAACTGCTGAAATATCATGGCTCTCAAGTGACCAGTAGCAAACCCATTGAGGCTATCAAACAAAAAGGCAAGACACGATGTGAGCAGAGAGAACAGTCTTCCTTGCTGAAAGTTCCTTTCCGTGGAACTATACCCACAGCCCCAGTGATGGTGTCCAGCCCCACTGGCCACCTCCAGACACCGGGGGGAAGCTCACTCCCCATGCAGGGTGGAGCTGATGATGTCCACGAAGGTGGCCTCGATGCGATAGCAGAGCTGCACGGCCGGGTCGCTGCACTGCGGCTCCTCTGGGCCCCTGGGCTTGCAGGCTGCCGCCGCTGCCGTCGGCTGCTCTTTCAGGTACTGGAGCCCTGGGAGAGGGGGAGGCAGGGCTCACATGCTGGGGCAGGCCAAGTCACCATGGCAACATCACGGCAACATCGCGGCAACACCCTGCCAAGCATGTTTCCATCCACAACTCAGCAGAGCTATTGTACACCAAATGTGCAGGTTTAGATATTCTGTCGGTCTGATTTATAGTACGTGTTTACAGTATATATATACACCCGTCCGGCATTGACCTCCCAAACTCTGCGGTCTCCTTCCATTAGCATGAACCCAGGCTGGTTTGTACTGCATATCCCATACATGCAACAGAGTGAGATTCTAATAAAGAATTTGCATATTCTACAGAGAGGGTTCGGAAATTTACTGCATTTTTAACTGCAATGCATCTCTTAATAGTATTTTAAATGAACGTTACAGCCATTCACCACCTGCACAGGCACAGTGGTAATCTCTGTGAAACTGTACCTCGCTTTTGACTGACAGATGTAACTATCGATTTTCTTACAGATTTACATAAAACTCCTAGTGTCATGAGAACAGTGGTCATTTGACACGTCAGAGACTGTTTACTAGAATTGGCAATATCATAATCTCTCTCTCATTTAATTGCAATTTATCCTTAAATACCCCATAACCTTGCTCTGACCCCAGTCCTTGCATTAGGTGTTATGCCTCCGCCTGGACAAACAGAAGCGGTACGCTCTCATCCCAGACTTGGCCGATATTTAACCACATGGATGCACAGGCAGGTGTTCCAGGTGCTATACAGACGGCAGACGGTTCATATTTGCCGAATAAAAGCCAAGTTTGCTTTCTCCGGCTGACCAGAACACTCACTGTCAATGTCTCAATGCTAGTGGAAGCGCTGGAACTTCTGCTCAACTTTTCATGACTGAGAACTCTTTATAGCACATAATATAGTTGCTAAGTGTCAGAATACACAGAAAATCCGCTCACTGCAGAGAGGAAACTGGTAATGTTTTCACCTTGAGAGCTGTAAAGTCACAGCATTAAGTAAAAATAATCCTCCCATTTCTACACTGATCCTCATTCCAAACACTGACTTTTCAGATTTATTTGTACCCCCCAATTCATTAGGTCATAATATTCTCACCTCTCGTCACAGAAAAGCTATCAGAGAGAGGGAAATGTCCCATATAGGCTATGCTCTCACTTACTGGTGATAAGCGGGTCCACGTCCCGAGCCCGGGTGGCCACCTCGGAGGCACAAACCTGCCCCACCTGGACCAGAAGGGCGGCGACATCGTCATACAGCGGGGGGAAGGCTTTGCAGAAGGCTACCAGGCAGGGCAGGGTTGGCATGAAGAAGGAGTACCTCTTTGCCTGGGTCAGAACTGGGGGAGAGACCGGCACATGTAGTAAACCAGTTGGCGAACCGCTTACTCTGTGACACCAGCACCAACAACAACTCTGAACTATAGTCTTTCCTCTGTACTACTGGCAATGGAAGTGAAAATGGAAGCAGGAATGCAATGACATAAATGGACCACATGAGGGCAGCACATCGTCAACTTCAGCGAAACCGAGGCATCACCTGTGAGCAGCGTGCCCATGACACTGATGGCCAGGCGCGCCACGCTGAGAGACTTAGGTAGGGCGTACTGGGTGCACAGGTGGGACAGGAGCTGGATTGCAAATATCTGTAGGAGAACATCACCCATCAGCCAACAGGCTGTAATCACATGGGCGGAGTGCAGCCGTGCAGGTGAGCATGAGAGCGTGAACACACATTTACGCACCTGTTTCTCCAGCTGTGGCTGGGCCAGCAGCTCAGGGATGAAGTCCAAGCAGATATGCATGGAGGGAACCCCTGCCACTGTCAAAGGGAGTAACGCCTGGGGGTATCCCTAGGGAGGGGAGGGACACGCATGCTTGAGTACATTATCCATTAGCTAATGCTATTGAGATTCAGTTGCCTTCCCACTATATAATTCAGCAAGTCCCTAACCCACAACGTTAACTGCTTCAAAATGGTAATTTAAAACCTTGTACCAATTTACTGTGTGTATTCTGCCAGTTAATAACTATATTTTCCACCACTTCCACTAGAGGCTGTTACCTGAAAGTGCACCAACTTGGCGATGTTGGGGTCAGCAATGAACATCTGATGCAGCAGAGAACAGATGAGGCACTGCACCTCACGCAGGTCACTCAGCAGGCCCCGTTCTGACGACTCCCCCACAGTGGGGGGCACCCTCATCTCCACGTCTTCGTCGCCCTCCTCGCTCTTCACCTGCGCGGAGTTGTGTCGGAAGCCCCACAGTAGGCTGTCGTCCCCACCTGCCTGTGCCTGCTCCTCGCAGGTGGGCAGACACACCTCCAGCAGGATCTGCACAGCTGCGCTGTCCTGGGACAGAGGCAGAACATATGGAGCAGGGTGAGAGGGAGGCTCCACCCCTAGTAACCGACCTGGCCTCAATGAGGGGGATTTACAGCCCCCCCACAGCAGATAGGAAAGAAACTGATATGCTGGTGAGGGATCCAGGTCATGCCCACATGGTTCCTTCCTCCGACAAGCGGATTTAAACCACACCTAGCCCCCCCTCCCCCCCTGCCAGCCAATAAATTATTTAGTCAGCAGTTGGACAGGAACAATTTATACGAAGGCTGTCTGTAGAGAACCTTTTGGCTGTACACAGATCAGACTTCAGAGCTGATAAAACATCACTTTGTGACTTGAAACAGAAAATATAATACAGAACAGAAACCAAGTCATGGAAGTACACATGCAAAACAAGAAATCGTTGGGGGGGGGGGGGGGCAAGGCACCTGCGCTGCCAGTAGGGCATTCTTCAGCTCCTCCCGGGTGACCTCGGGCGCATCTGGAGGACCGGCCAGCCCCGGGTTCAAGATGGTATGGGTCTGCCGGTCCAGATCGGCCGTCTCCTTCAGATGGGCGTTCAAGTAGGCCTTGGAGGCCAGAAGGTAGCCATTGAGCATGTGCAGAGTGATGTCCATCAGTGGAGGGCACCTGGGTGGGGACAGCAGGTGCAGGTGAGAGCTGGCGGAGGAGCCGGCACGCAGCTACCCAAACAGAGAAGCTGATGTCCTGACGTGGTCAGTGACACATCAACAGAAGACATGAACTATGACATCACCGTTCCACAGGAGCCCCAGACATCTAAGCCGTACGCACACTTGCTGCCCCCTCACCTGTAGACTCTACGGTCACAGCGAAGTACGATGAGGGGATCGATCATCAGGTCATTCTGAGTGTACCTCTGCAGGCGTGGGAGCTTGGCACAAGGCTGCAGTGCATTCACGGTCATGACCCAGAGCCTGCAGGGACCACGGATGCCCGTTAAGTGACATTCTGAACACGCGCAGAAAATGGAGATGACGTCCAGCCAATCAGAGTCTTAGAAAAGGGCCCTCCTGTTCAGTGCTGACATGAATCGATGACGACTTCACAATAATGACATCTTGGCAACATCTGTAGCCTTATTATGCTCTCATCTGTCAAAAGGTCCCAACCGCACTCAATATCGAAGTGTTATAGCTCCACCCAACAGCAGCCACCTGTGCAGGCTTGTTAAGATCCGGCCTATCGATTCCACCCCCTAACCCTCCCCCAACATTCACAGTGCAGCCCGATCAATAACCGCCGGTACCAAGCTGTTTGAAAGGGTGATCTGCACCCACAGCACCAGAATTAGCATGTTCGCATTCCCGGAAAATGTTCCAGAACCCCCCATATGGTGCCGACGACTTCTAGACAGTTACTGGAAGCAGGTAGCTTTGGTCTCACTGAAGACCAGAGGGCACAGACCTCCTGGGCATGACGGTGTTGAGCACCATCCAGAGGTGGTTGACGGTCTGCAGGATCCTACGGGGCACGCCATCACCCAGCAGCAGACTCATGTTGGCCGTCAGCTCCTCTGCGTATGGGATCAGGTCGCTGGCCGACAGCAGCGTCAGATGCTGGAGGATCTGCATCAGCAGGGGGCTGCTGGAGGGGGGCCCTTGAAAGGCTGGGGGAGGAAGTGTCACAGTGGTGAGCAATAGTCGGGGGAGCTTAAGAGTGGGCAACACACAACTCTGAGGCCTAGAGGCAGGATTTAATGATAATCTTCTTTGCAACAAGTAAACATGTACACTGAGTATCTGAGTCCACACAGTCCTACAGCTGCTGGTGTAGCTGCTGGTGTCATTTGGCTGAATTCAGCATTTGACAAAAGTCATCTCAGCTTCTGTGCTGCATTGGTCACAACAGAGCAGGCAGGCAATTACTCATCACCAACCGCAATGGCAACAAGTCGATGCACTTCTAGGAAGCAGCCCATAGGGGGAGCTTCTGCCTCAAGGTCATTCTGTTAGACGAAACCTGTCTTGCAATGACAAATGAAGTCACACTCAAACGGCTGTCACATTAAGGAATAACTCTTTGCAAGCATGAAGAACCCAGAGGAAGCCGGGATGCCTTCGATAGCGGCTAGGCGCTGCATGGCTACACTCACCCTCTTGTAGCTGCTGTTGGGAGTACTTGCAAGTGGGGCTGGTGAGGAGCATCCTGCGCAGCAGGGGCAGCGTGCCCGTGATCTCCTCCTCGCAAATCCAGTCCTCCACCATGCACAGGTGGGGGTAGTTTGTTGCCAGGAGTCGCAGCAGAGCAGAGTGCAGCCCTAGAGGAGAGACGTGATGCAGGGGCAACGATGAGGCATGGAGATCAATGACATTTGGTGGGTCCTTTAATCTGATGTCCCACAATACTTTGCAGCAGGACAGGAACGACAGGCCCATCCATCTGTACACCAGCCAAGCCATTCAGGCTGAGAGGCGGCGTGATAAAACAACAGGCTCCATTGTCTTGGGAGGGTGGGGCGATTTCTAGCACAACGCAAACGATAACCATTATCGTGAGAAACCAGCGCATTATTCATCAAACAAGCGGGGGCTTTTAATGGCTGGACTCTTTGATCCTCCGATGGTCCTCGAACACTGGGAATGGCTTCCAGAATATGCTGTGCCCCTTTAACCAACACAGGGTAAAACTCCAATGATAACAGAGAGGACGGTGCAGTGCCACAGGGATGACCCACGGATACACACACTGTACTCAACAACACGGGTAAGAGTACTTCAGCCACCTGATCACAGAGTGCAATTAGCAGAGAAATGGGGGTGTTATAAATGATATTATGGTAAAAATCAGGACAATTTGGGGATTATTAGAGCAGAATAAGTGTGTGACAGGATGCAGAGCAAAATCACCACTAAAGGTTACACTAGTCCACCGGGAAGAGGACTTGAACCACGTAGCACCCTTCAAACCAGGAGAAGCTAAGGGATGGGACTCACCGGCCAGCTCCTGCTGCAGCCCCTGGGCCTGCCGGATCAGGTACTTGATGGGGATCTGGTCCATGAGAGTGGCAGAGTACGATTTGGGTTTCTTCTGCATCAGGGCTGGAGAGAGAGAGAGAGAGAGAGAGAGAGAGAGGCCTTAGAATGAAGCCAACCAGGACCCAATCAAGAGCGTGACTCTCCCCATCCCGCTACCCCCCTTGCCCAGCTTTAGCTCTTTATCCAGAGAGACCACCCCTTCCAGCATAGCGTCTACCTGATAACAGATGGCGGTTACTGTGGTACAACACGGATGAGAACCATTAGTATGAGAAACCGCCAGCGTGTTATTCACCAAACAAGCGGGGGCTTTTAATGGCTGGGCTCATTGACCCTTAGGTGGTCCTGGAACGCTGGCCCCCAGCCAGGTGACGAACGGCCGGCTCCACAATCTCGTCCGAAATGCCAGGAAGCGAATGACAACGCAGGCACAGCCGGGCCATGAAAACAGAGCAGGTTGTATGTGCCAGGAGCTAAAGACTTCCATTAACCACAAGGGACAAAGGTGGGCTTTCTGCACAGGCCAGATACCATCTCTCACTGGAATCAACCGTAAGCATCACCTTGAAGGGGGGAAGAAGAGAGGAGGGCTACACACCCAGGGCCTTTGTGCTGGCCAGCAGGGCCTCCTCGTAGGACAGGATGTAGTAGAGGATCAGCAGCTGAGTGGTGATGCTGTAGCGGGAACGGGTGCGGCCGCTGTCCCCCTGTCAGGTAGTGGGAAAAGTTGGATGTTTAGAGGATCCCTAAAATAGAGGATGTTAGGGTCTGAGGATCCCTAAATGCTTCACAACGCTCCCACCTTCAAACTCAGCAGGGTTCCCCAATTCCAGTCCTGGAGGGCCGGTCCGCAACACATTTTGCAATTTCCCTGCTCAAACACACCTAATAAACCTGCCATTTACCAGGTGTGTTGGTGCAGGCAAATCTGTAAACCAGGGATGTTCAAATCACGGTGCGTAATGGCAGAGCACTGCTGGTTTTCCAACCTTCTTTACCTGTGAGCCAGGTGTGAAGCCTCTGGCCAATCAGAATCGGTAATTATTAAACGAACTACCTGGGAGTACTGAAAGCAAGACCTGGATTTGGAATCAAGGGCCAGATATCAATAGGGTAGCGATAAACTGTGATGCAGACTGGCCGTCCAGGACTGGAATTGGGGAACCCAGTCTTAGAGTGTTCATGGCCTTAACTGGCCGTGCCAAACACCAGCAATGCTGAAAGCGCTATGGATAAATCAATCTGCTAAATATCACTAATCTGCTAATAAGCACTTCACTCAATTAGAGGAGGACATAATTTAAAGGAAAAAATTTCCCAAGCAGTAGTTACTACATGAGTGACTCAAAAACCAGTACACAAGGAAAGAGGATGGCTTTGGTAGAGCTCCTGTGTGTCAGACTACATTAACACCCTTAGTGTGGTTAAGGCAGGCCCTGATCTACACAGCAGCTATGGGGGAGGTGCGGGGGCACAAACCCCGGTTAGGCCCTGGAAGACGCTCAGGATCTCCTGCTCTGTGATTGGCTGGTTGGTGGCCTCAGGGTTGGCCTTGGAGGCTGGCGTGAGAATGGAGTTGATGTAGACGTCGATGAGGGGCAGAAGCTGCGTGTGGAGCGGCGTGGATGTCTCGCACAGCTGTCTGAAGATCCAATCCTGCAGGTGAAGACAGGTCATGGCCCAAATGGCCTGAAGCCCACTGCGGGACCCCTGAGCTGTCCTCACCCCAACGTGGACATCGGGCAGCCTACCTTGATGGAGACCTTGTGCTTGGTGAAGGCCCTGCTCTTGAGCAGCTGGTAGATGCAGTGAATAGGGAGGAAGCCGGTGATGTTGGCGCTCAGGTTGTTGGTGACAGCGACTCTCACAGCATGGGCGGTGACCACCTACATTGCCGAACCACAATGACTGTTATGGGGCAGCTGGTCGCCGCGACTATGCACACATTTCGGTCTGGCTAGGCCGGCTGCCTGCTGGACTACTGCCCCACACATGGGGCTATTCTGAGCTTTTCAAAAACGAGCACAGGGAAAGTGTTTCTCCTTCAGCTGAGCATGCTGAGGCACCGCCTGCACACGCTTCACACTTCCCTCACCCCCACTGCTCTTGTTTGAGATAAAATTCAACTCCTGAGATGCCAACATGAATCGCTTCAGAAAGGCTGGAGGGGAGGAGAGAGAGTGTAAGGAAGATGGGTAGAAATGACTTTGGGATTAGGCAACACATTGAAGGTACAACTGAAGACCAATGGCCAAGCTGACAGACACATTCAAGCATCACACTGTGGGTAGAGGAGGTAACACGCTTCAGAAAAGCCACTGTCTACCATCTATAACCATCTCCATCAGGAGAGGAGAGACTCTGCCAAAAGAGGGATCAGGGGACCGCATGGGGAGTCGGACCTCCGCAGTGGGGTCAGGCTGCAAACAAGCCCTTCACAGCAATTCATTAAGGACCCTAAAAGCAGAGGGGGGGGGCTGCATCAAGGTAAGAAGTCATAGACTTAAGTGCTTTTCTGTGGAGCTCAAAGTTTTAAACCAGGAGTTTGATTGGCTTACAGAAATCGGTACTATGGTTACCGTGGTATCCAGGGCCCAGATCCACCCCCCTCCAGCCCAAACTAACTCTCACTATTTTCTAAGGCCACTTCAGCCCAGCGCTTCCATAGGATGGAGCCAGGGATGACATGGGGGGGGAGGGCTTCCCTCAAAAATGCTGATGCGTACCTGCTCCGTGAAGATTTCCTGCGTGAAAATGGTCTTCATCTTGCTCAGGGAGCTTGGTTTTATGACAATCTAGGGGGAGGGGGGACCAGCAAGTGATTAATCACAGTGTTGCGGGACGGCCAGCAAACGAGGGGAGGGGGACAACACCCGAGAGAAAAATGAACAGTTTTACAATACATCACTTCCTGTCATTAGCTAGGGGAAAAACAGGAGACCATTAAACAATTAGTTAAAAAAGAACAGTTAAATTCTGAAGGGCTTTAAACTTAATTACTATAACAAATGGCTGTGCAGCGACGGCTGAGCAGGACAGCGATTGGAGAGCCAGGCCCTGCCCCTCCATGAGGTTGGGTTTCATCTTCACGTTACCTTCATCCCCAAAGTGGAACAGACCAGTTCGATGATGGCGCTGAGCTGGTTGCTATGGAAATACATGGCAACCAGCAGCAGCATCTCTCCGAAGGAAGCGGACACACCTGCGGCACTGAGACAGAGGAAGCCGAGGTGGGGGGGGGGGCAGGCAGAGACAGGGAGGGAGAGAAGGGATTTACACAGAGGTTGTAATGCATCCTCAAAACAGACAGGGCAGCAGCGATTTATTAACCCTGCCCACCCCCACCACC